CCTCACTCTGCGCGAAACGAACAAGAGCCGCGCGTCCGTACAGCGGTTCCGGCGGGCGGCCAGTCTCGAGGATCTGTTGGACCGAGACGACGACGAGGCGTCCAGTCACGAGAAGACCACCACTAGCAGGAAGTACACGAAGCGGAGCGGCGGGGGCGGGGGTGGTGGCAGTGGCGGCGGCAGCGGTGTCGTCATCGCTTCGAAAAGCGACAGGTATCGGAACGCCTCCCGGGGCAACGACTCGATGAAGCGGGCGCGCAGCGTCGAGACCTTGATGAGATACAACAGCGTGACGGCGGACGAGGCGACGAGCGCGCGCCAAGTTCCGGTTGCACGACCAGCGACGAACGGCATTCGCCAGGAACCGGTCAACGACCACATCATACTCGTGGATCGCACATCCGTGAAGATCGAGAGTCGCCTAGGCGAGCTCGATCGACCTAAGCCGGTCAACAAGCCCAAGAGGATCAAGCCGGTTCTGGCGGAAACGGAACGACCGCCGCCGGATCTAGTCAAGACCACGATGAGGATCTTTGAGAACTCCGCGAGGAAGCTGAAGCCCAAGGGCGAGGTGGCCGCGAAGGTCGCTACCTTCAAGACCATCAACGACACGTTCAAGGCACAGACGCAGAAAAAGCTGGTGCAGAAACCGCCGTTGCAGCCGAAGCCATTCGTCAACGGCGGGACGCGTCCCGTAGTCCCCGGTTCCCCGAAGAAGATCGTACTGCCGCACAAGCCGACCGCGGAGCTGATCGAAACGCAGGATGGCAAAGAGGAGTATCACATAGACGGAGTTATCACGGAGCCGATCGCGCAATCGGTATCCTCGGTAGTGAGCAAATTCCAGCAGATCGAAAAGTCACACTCACCCTCCCCGTCGCCGGAACCCTCGGCTTACAAGCTGAAATTCTCCCCAGCGAACAGCCCGGAACCACCGCAGACGTACAAGTCCAAGTCCGCCGCTCTGGAGATCGCCGTCAAGTCGCCACCCGTAACACCGGTGCTCTCGCCGAGGATCCTGTCGCCGAGACTGCAGAGCCCAACGTCGCCTGTCAAGGACAGACAGAGTCCGTCCTCTCCCGTTAAAGACGCGATTCGCATTCAGATTCCGCATTCAGGTCCGCTTCATAAACCACCACTCCCGAGTCCGGTCCGGAGTGGCGAATCCACGAAGACGGAGTCGGAATCGTCCAAGGTTATTCGTCCGCAGATCGAGAAGGAGATTCCGAGAACGAGCGTCGAGTGTCCTCCGCAGACCCGCCTTCCAGAATTGTTTGTCAACAACGTGGAATGGAAAGAAGACGTGAAATCGAACCGCATTACGTTCAACGATGGAGAGAAGAATGTCGACGAGGAGATCGTAGACGGGCCGAGAACCATTTCCAAGGCCGCCCTGGACAACATCAGCAAGGCCGGCACGACGATGCAGTTCAACTTCGACGACAAGTCCACGGGTGACAAGAGTTATCTACCTGGTTTGAAGCAAAACGGACAAAAATCGGTGGACGAGTCGATGCCAGAGGAGGAGGAGGAGGAGGAGCAGGAGGACGAGGACGAGGAGGACAGGAGCAAGGTGAGTGCACCTGCCAGCGTCACAACGGACTCCAAAGCGATGTCAAGATTGCAAGAAAGGCTCGAGGCTGAAAAGGTGGAGAACGACAATAGGGATGTCGTCGGGGAGAAGCTGATCGCGCCGGAAAATAAACTTATCGGGGCCATCTGCAGCTTGGGCCTGATCAAGACCGCGACAACGACAACCTCGTCGTCGTCGTCGTCGTCGTCGTCGTCGTCGTCGTCGTCGTCGTCGTCGTCGGCGGCGGCGGCGGCGGCGGCGGCGGCGGTGACGTATTCGCAGGGCAACAACGAGGCGAAGACGATACGATGCCAGCAAAAGAGCGAATTCTCACCACCGCAGAAACAAATCGGCATCATACGACCGCTCGTCTCCACGAAGACACAGCATCCGCAGCAGAATCTGAGCAACCGCGAGCTCGAGAAGAATCTGATCAATCGGGTCAAGAGCATCGAGCAGCCGACCAAAGTGGTGGTGAGCCTGAAGAGTGCCGACGAGATACAACCTGCGAAAAAGACGAGTGCCGGGAGCGGTGGCGGCGGTCTTTGGGACACGAAGCCATGGAATCAGCAGAACAACACGATGGTATTCAACTTCAGCAACCGAAAGGACGTACCGGATTACATAGAGAACGACGGCCTTATCATCAGGAGAAAGCGGGAGAAGCCGAAGGTGAGTCACTAATTGCATTCCTCTTGAAAAATGCAAAAAGTACCGGGAATTCGTTCGAGCTATAACGTCGAAACTGTGGTAATAATTGACACAAGTTTTACCGCGAAGAAACTTCTGGAGTCTTCTTTCCAGTAAAACTCAGTGCAATTATATTATATTTGTTTATAAGTACAAATTAGAGAAGAATGTTTGAAATGTAAGTGCAAAAGAGATATTTAGAAAATCGATCATTTTTCTTCAGCTTAATAAAAAAAAAAAAAAAAAATACAAAATTAAGTTTGTATTCAATAATAAATTTTATTTAACAAGTAAATCAATTTTAAAATTCGCACCGATTTTTAAAATGAAGCGAATGTCTTATTGAAGAAATTATTAATTATAAAAAAATAATTATAATATTTGTATGTTTATATTTTATATTTTCAAACGAGATTATTTTTTTCAAAGTAGACATATTTTCTAGAAATATGTAAAAACTAATATATTTTTTTACAAATCTAATTAGCTTACTTTTTTTTTACGTGTCACATAAACATGAATTTTCTTAATGAAAAAGTTGGTTTATAAATAATTTATATGACATATTAATTATTTCACGATATTATAATCACGACATTGAATCGTAAAACTATTAAAACGTATTATGTATATAACATTCTTGTGATGATTACAGGCAGCGATAACTTTATTGAAAAAAAAAAAAACAAGATATTCCATGAACCAAGGCAATTAGTGTAAGCTAACGAAACACGGCAGCAAATAATTTATCGCAAAGAGATACTTGCGAGGTTTTTTTTTTTTTCTCTCATTTAGCTTCTTGCGTCTATGAGAGAACCGCGTATTCATTAAACCGAATTTTCATTAAATAGCACGTTGCGCCGCCACAAAGGAAGATGCGACGATCGATATATAGTTCAATAACAACCTGGTGCCGGCAACTTTCTTTTCGCGCGCGTAAGATAGTTAGTCGGCTATTTCACTTTCTTTAATACGCCGGACAGAAGTGTTGCTCGACAAAGGCGACGTTTTGCACCAATAACAACAGCTGTGGAATTCCAATTAACTCTAAATATTCCAAACACGTTTCGCCTCGCGTATACAGGGTGTCGCTGATGTTCCGCGACTTCTACCATATTGGATATTCTGGAATGTTTCTCTTCAGAGCTCTTCTCATTTCTTATTTTTGTGTCAAGTATTATACATTAATATCATGATTTATTCGAGAGGATTTTTCACGAATTAAATAAATTTTAATGACTCACGATGATGACTCGTCGTTAGATCTCGAGACTAAACTGCGATGGAAAATTTTTTTAGTTAGTAGGCCGATCTCCCGAAGATTAATTAAACGATTAACTTTGACGAATGATAAAAGTTGTGAAAGGATCCGATCTTCAAGTTAATCAAGAGATAGTTGAAAGGAAACGCGAGAAAATCGCGTGACATCCTGTATATACTCCGTGACTTATTCGTCCTCGATTTTCTGTCTCGCTTCCACACTCGTATTGCGCATCGAGCTGACGCGGGTTGCGAGAATTCTCGTTAAACCGTTGTACGACATGTGTAACGGTGTCGTCGCGGAGTGCTAAACCGAATGGAATATCGATCGCCCCTAAATAGATGCTAAATTAAATATCGCGCTGACGCTTCGAGACGCTAACTCGTCAATCAAGTCATCACCGACGAGTTGTAGACACTGTTGGATTTATCGCGGCGGTTGTCCCCGGAATGAGAAAAACAATCTTCTTATTTTACGCCGCTTACTCATACATAAGTTGAAGAAACATCAGCAAGAGTTGACGGAACGAAATCTGTTTATTTACATTTAACTGTATCACTCGGCACTGCTCGGGAAAACAACATCATTACTCGCCGATTATCATAGATAAGATTTAATATTTCATAACGCATAAAAGTTATATTAACTCGTTCTCTTATTTTTTTCTTAATGTGGTGATTTTGATTAAATTTTATTTAACAAATTATGTTTCAAATCATTGTAACTAATTTTTTTTTTAATATTTCTGTACTTTTCATAAGGTGGTAAAGAAATAAGTGAGAACTTACACTTACATAATTATTGCAAAAAAAATAAATCCTGGGATACTGGGATCCCCATTATTTAACATAAGTTGACACAAATGTCATTCCATCTTTCTTGATATATTCAATCAATAACATAAATAAGGAAAACGATTATGTTAATAAATGGAGAGGATTTTTCATTTTACACAAGCGGCGTGAAATATTGCGCCTTTTTGCGCCGTCGTTTAACGAAATACAAAAAGTTGGAGTGCCGCCGACAGTGTGAGAGTCCGACGACTCGATCAGATATCAATGCAGCATTGTATTCGGCTTCGGATAACCGCGGATGCCAACCGCGGAATTAACAGGCGTGTTACTTTGCGCGTGCTGCGCAAAGTAAAACGTTCCGAAATCGCGCGGCGCTTTCTAAAGCGTTCGAGCGCCTCTGCCTCGCTCGAAACGCCACATACTCCATTTCCAGCCTTCTCGTAAAACGCATCATCGCGCCCTCGCGACGGAACCGCGAAGTGAAACCGAAGGCGTTCCGAAGACATTCAGCGGAAAATGGGAGAAATTAGGCACACGACTCCGCCGCGGCTCGCGGTCGCGATAGTTACTTTCTCGTTTATTAGATAATCCGGAAGTGGGAATCTGCGTCTTCGGGCAGAGCGGCGATTATCCCTCACGCTAATCGGAGGATCCCGATTACGTTATTAAATGCGTGCCTAAAACTTGTTACGGTGCCCGACAATCGCGTCTCTCACGCGATATAGAGTCGCGATATGTGTTTCACCATTCAATTAATACTTCTCGGACGTATCCTGCTTTCCGCCTGCAAATTTACGGATTTTGTCACGCCTCAGTAACGTCACGACAGAGTCTGAGCTTTTCTTTTTTTTTCTTCTTTTTTTTTCTTCTTTTTTTTTCTAGTACGAACGCGTCATCGAATATATTTGCATTGCAAAACATTGGACGGTCCGGATTTAAACCTTTGTCCCCCCCCCCCCGGTGAACGTGTGTTTCACAGAATAATGACGAAAGCAGCTTCGTCAATAAATTTTCGATAAAATCCCTGATCGTATCGTTTGCCACTTGTTGATTCTTCGCTTTGTCTTTAATCAGAAATATACTTTTATCGGCAAATCGCACACATTGTTGTTTTAAATTAGTATGCAAAATTATTCTCAGTCTTTTTGAGAATGTTATTGTTTTATTCTCTTTAACAAACTTGGAATTTATTCAATTGATTATATATATAAAGTAAATGTATGTAATGCTATATTTATTTAGTCCTATATTTAAAAAATTAATAATACTTAATAAAGTATTCTAGGTAAAAAATTTTTTATTCATATATAATTAGTATAATCAATATGTGTATAATTTATTTATACTTATACAAGGTTATACAGTTATACAGGGAATGTCGTCTCCAATGAATACTTTCTCCTAATTACCGATACCGGAGGCTAAATTAAGAATTACATCTTTCCTTGACAAGGAATTTAATTAAAAATTAAAAAATTTTTAATTAAAAATAGAATAAGTTAAAATAATATAAATATTTCGAAATAAGGTGACACAATTAAATAAATTTTCTTTCTGTTTAGCTCTTCACTTACAAGAACGATATTGAAAATTACATTATCTTTACATTTAGCCTATAATAACGAATACACAAGTCAGTTTAAAGTATTACGAAATTGCAGTAGAGAAAAAGCAACTTTAGTATTTGGCAATGACAAACATGGTTGGAGTTAGAACCGTTGCTCTTGTCTCCCGGATACGATTCGCATTATTTAATATTCATTTTATGAAATGATATCTCTGCCTTATCTAATGGGCGCGCAATGATATCCTTCTAAACAACGTTGCGGACAAAGGAACATGTACACAAAGCGTAGGTCGCTGCTTAGAAGCTACGAGTGCTTCCTCGTGCCGTGAATTGCACATAATTTTCATATTTTATTCGCGAAACTGCTTCTGCTCCATCTAATCGGCGTAACGGCACATTCGCAAATACTGAAAAAAGAATATCGCCGCCCACTGAATAAAAAGCGATCGCTTAACGAACTAGAAACTGGAACGCACGTCAAGGTGGCGTAATCTCCTTCACCGAAGAACTTCCACGAAGTTTCGAGCGAAGGATTGCGTGAAGAATGCGCGTTATTTATGCGTGAATTTCGGTGTCAAGCATGAAAAAAAAAAAACAGGTTTTAAGCTCTCATTGTTAACAGCTGATAAAGCCGATACATGAGTGAGAAATATGACTCGTATTAAAACTGGCTGATAACGTTATCGCTCTTTTTCGCTGTGAGCGACACATCTTTAAATAACGGAATTTATCGTTTCTGTGATGAAATAGATTATGCAATGATAAACTTGCCGCGTGGAAAGTAGGAAATTTGCATCCGTGTTTCTAAGCCAAAGTTTAATGAGCAAGTGAGAAGTGACATGATCATTTCTACAACAATAGAATGATTAGAAAAAAAAAAAAAAAAAAAAAAAAAAAAAAAACTTCAACTTTTATCACTGTCTTGTTATGTAATGAGTTAAAAGATAAAAGCTCATATCCAAATAATTTCTTAATTACATACCATATAATTATTACAATCATATTTATTATAATCCTTTGACGTATAATATTTATATTCTTGTAAAATATATATTGCATTTATTTGTATAAACACTCTTGTAATTTTATTTATATAAATAGAGACGTGTCATGAAATGTAATTGGGTTTGACCGCCAATATCCGAAAGAGTGTAATTATATGACTTCAGTAACTTTGTTAATCACAAGCAATTCGGACAGTAAGAGATATGTGTTAATATAGAAGCACTGTTTGTATAAACAGCATTATAGCAAAATTTTTGCGACAAGCTAACTCGATTTGCGACTCGTTGACAAGAGCGCATGATGGCATTGTAGAATTTACGCACGAGAAAGAGAGAGAGAGAGAGAGAGAGAACAA